CACACACACACACACACACACACACACACACACACACTATCTTCCTCACATTCTCATTTTCTCTCCCTATTTCTCTTTGTCCTTCTCTCTCTCTCTCTCTCTCTCTCTCTCTCTCTCTCTCTCTCTCTCTCTAACTATCTTTCTCGCATTTTCATTGTTTTTCCCTATTTCTCTTTGTCCTTCTCTCTCTTTCTCTCTCTCTCTCTCTCTCTCTCTCTCTCTCTCTATCTATCTATCTATCTATCTATCTATCTATCTATCTATCTATCTCTTTCTCGTTCTCTCTCTTACTCTCTCTCTCTCTCTCTCTCTCTCTCTCTCTTTGTCTCTCTCTCTCTAACTCTCTTGTGAATATAACCTCTCTCTAACTCTCACTATATCTATGGTTATTTCAGCACGTCAAGGGTTCATCGAAAAACTTTACTGATGGTCAGAATCAGCTCTGTTTGGGTTTACATGTTCTTTTCTTTCGGGGCAAGGGGAGGGAAAAAAGGAAGGGGAGGGGTAGAAGAGGGGAGTAATTCTGAAGTAATTCAATCATATATTATTATACAGGGGTGATAATCACTCAGAAACAGTCTTGACTGACTTCCAAAGGGGAATAAATGTAAACAAGTTGACGATATGTCGATACTCATCTAAAACTCCAGTCCATGTGTACTTGTGGTGTCAGCTTTCTATGATATCTTTATATTGTCCATGAACTAACCAAAGAAATACTGTAGGAAGGATAAGGCAGAGAGAAGTAAGTAGAAAACTTTTCTCTCAGCTCTATAATGACTCGGCTTTCTACTGTGCTCTTGGAACGTCCGGACCTTCTCAAATGTCTGAGTTTCCTCTCCATTCTTTGCGTAACGGGTGATAAAGTCTTGAAATACCCCAATATTTTGACGGCTCACGAGGACACTGTCTGAGTGGGCTCGGTCCTTTGAAAAGAAATGTGTAGTGTGTAGAGATATGTAGACTGAACTTCTAATTGGCATCAGTGGAGTGCTGTGTGTGTGTGTGTGTGTGTGTATGTGTGTGTGTGTGTGTGTGTGTTATGAAGCTATGTGCCTCGACTTGCCTGGAAAGGAAGGGAGGGGGATAATCCAGATGAGTAAGTGCGGGTGTGTGGGATGGACGGGGAGGGGGATGCTGTTTGTTATGCTCAACATTTGACTGAGGTCGTTTTATCCTGTCGTCAAATGGTCTCTGTGGTGGAATAGAAATACGATCTTAAGTGTTTTACGCCCTCATTAACACAATTTAGATAACTTCGGTGCTTCAGACCTGCATGTCCCTGTCATTATGTGCCGAGTGGGATACAGCGTTGTTGCAGGCCAAAGAAGGTTTCTGATACGGAACAAAAATTAACGAAACAAAAATAAAACATCTTTTGCGTGCGACAGCAGTTCTGTTGTACTTAACTCTGTTCTTAGTTATGACTGGAAACTTAATGTAAATGTATGACTTCCCCAAACAAATATAGCTGGGCCTGTTTAGGAGGCGGGCTGCTTCGACCCTGTCTTTCGCGGCAGACCCATGCAATGAAATACACAGCCGAGCAGAGAGACTGAGACACTCCTCAAAATATCCCCCGCTTGTGTCAACCAAACAAACTCTCGGTCTTTCAGTCTCAGACAAAGAGCCTAACAATTACACCACGTGTGTCGACACTCGGACTAAAACACTGATCTGAGTGCCGCCTCTCGTTGTGCTAGAGTTTGTTCGAAGAAAAGTTCACTAACTATAAAGAAGAGGGAAAATGCGAGCATTTATTTTGTTCAGGTTTCCTAATGTGAGAAAGTAACTTTACCTGCTCGTCTTAGCCCAGTATATTAGGTATTTATACGAACAATATCACCTTCGTAGCATGAAACTTTGTGCAACTTTCCGAACTTTTGGTGAGTGTGAAGATGGCTCCACGAGGGAGCGTGACAGACAGTACACACCCCCTGATTCGAAAGAGCAGAGTAATGTAGGACTAACTTGAGTCTAACAAATAATAACTCATCAATTGCTTTTATTACTTTAAATCATTACTCTTGGATGAGTAATTGACTGATAATCTTTTGCAGAAAGAAGAAACATTTCCAGGTGGAAATGATAATGTTTGTCCAATTTTGCTACCGATTGGGAAACCTAAAATGGGTGGCGTGTATGTCTTTTTGTCTTTATCTGCCTTTGTCTCTATATGTCTCTCGATCTGTCTCACTGTTTCTTGGACTTTTTCTTTCTTTTCTGTCTCTCTCTGTTTTGTATCTGTCTCTTTCTCTCCCTCTCTGTCTCTCTCTCTGTCTCTCTCTCTCTCTC